ATACCATGTTGACACCCATACATACCATGTTGACTCCCCTACATACAATGTTGACAGCCCTACATACAATGTTGACTCCCCTACATACCATGTTGACACCCCTACATACAATGTTGACTCCCCTCCATACCATGTTGACTCCCCTCCATACCATGTTGACTCCCCACCATACCATGTTGACTCCCCTACATGCAATGTTGACTCCCCTCCATACCATGTTGACACCCTTACATACCATGTTGACTCCAATACATACCATGTTGACTCCCCTACATACCATGTTGACACCCCTACATACAATGTTGACAACCCTACATACAATGTTGACACCCGTACATACAATGTTGACTCCCCTACATACTATGTTGACTTCCCTACATACCATGTTGACATCCATACATACCATGTTGACTCCCCTACATACCATGTTGACACCCATACATACCATGTTGACTCCCCCACATACCATGTTGACTCCCCTACATACAACGTTGACTCCCCTACATACCATGTTGACACCCATACATACCATGTTGACTTCCCTACATGCCATGTTGACTCCCCTACGTACCATGTTGACTCCCATACATGCCATGTTGACTTCCCTACATACCATGTTGACTCCCCTACGTACCATGTTGACTTCCCTACATACCATGTTGACTTCCCTACATACCATGTTGACTCCCCTACATACCATGTTGACTCCCCTGCATACCATGTTGACTTCCCTACATACCATGTTGACTCCCCTACATACCATGTTGACTTCCCTACATACCATGTTGACTTCCCTACATGCCATGTTGACTTCCCTACATACCATGTTGACTTCCCTACATACCATGTTGACTTCCCTACATGCCATGTTGACTTCCCTACATGCCATGTTGACTCCCCTACGTACCATGTTGACTCCCCTACATACCATGTTGACTCCCCTACATACCATGTTGACTCCCCTACATACCATGTTGACTTTCTTACATACTATGTTGACTCCCCTACACACCATGTTGACTTCCCTACATACCACACTGGTAAACGGTTAGATGATCTTTGGTAATTACGCTGCCGTGGCGGCTTCTTATCTCACAGTACCTCCTTCGAAACCACCAAGTCGTCTTGTCTCTGGCCGAAAGTATAACACCATCCGGTAATTCTGTGCGGCGGGGAAGCAGCCCTGAGCTTCATGAACTCAGGTGGGCCCACCTCCGAATACGTTTAGGAATCGTGGGCCGAAACGTGTGTCGAAAGAGGATAATTTCTACTGATGACTGTAGATCCCCGCTGTACTTGCTCCCTGTGAGTTTATTCTTATTGGTAGTTGCTTGTTTGTGGTTCGGGATAAACAGACTGTCTAAAACCATAAAGCGAGGCGACATGCTCGGCTGGGCACGATATCGGTAGGTACAGGAAAAGCAATGAACCGGGTCGACATTCTGAAAGCTTTCAATGACGCAGGACAATAAGATGATTCAGGAGACGACCGTTAGTTGGCAACACTCAAGAGACATCAAGATATTCAGGTCAAAAGTGGTGTTGCCAAACATAAACACGATACAGGTAGTCAAATGAGAATAGTAAAACAGCACAGAACAGGTGTTATCAACCACACGCTGGGTTGTCCGTCGTCAACTGTCCGCGGTCTGAGAAAATCGCGTCGTGCCTGGGTAGTGTCCAGTCCCACGAAAGCCCTATCCGATCGTCAGTAAACCACGCGCTGTGATGTCGTCAACTGTCCGCGGTCTGAGAAAATCGCGTCGTGCCTGGGTAGTGTCCAGTCCCACGAAAGCCCTATCCGATCGTCAGTAAACCACGCGCTGTGATGTCGTCAACTGTCCGCGGTCTAAGAAGATCGCGTCGTGCCTGGGTAGTGTCCAGTCCCATGAAAGCCCTATCCGATCGTCAGTAAACCACGCGCTGTGATGTCGTCAACTGTCCGCGGTCTGAGAAAATCGCGTCGTGCCTGGGTAGTGTCCAGTCCCACGAAAGCCCTATCCGATCGTCAGTAAACCACACGCTGTGATGTCGTCAACTGTCCGCGGTCTAAGAAGATCGCGTCGTGCCTGGGTAGTGTCCAGTCCCAGGAAAGCCCTATCCGATCGTCAGTAAACCACACGCTGTGATGTCGTCAACTGTGCGCGGTCTGGGAAAATCGCGTCGTGCCTGGGTAGTGTCCAGTCCCACGAAAGCCCTATCCGATCGTTAGTAAACCACACGCTGTGATGTCGTCAACTGTCCGCGGTCTGAGAAGATCGCGTCGTGCCTGGGTAGTGTGCAGTCCCACGAATGCCCTATCCGATCGTCAGTAAACCACACGCTGTGATGTCGTCAACTGTCCGCGGTCTGAGAAAATCGCGTCGTGCCTGGGTAGTGTCCAGTCCCACGAAAGCCCTATCCGATCGTCAGTAAACCACGCGCTGTGATGTCGTCAACTGTCCGCGGTCTAAGAAGATCGCGTCGTGCCTGGGTAGTGTCCAGTCCCACGAAAGCCCTATCCGATCGTCAGTAAACCACGCGCTGTGATGTCGTCAACTGTCCGCGGTCTGAGAAGATCGCGTCGTGCCTGGGTAGTGTCCAGTCCCACGAAAGCCCTATCCGTTCGTCAGTAAACCACGCGCTGTGATGTCGTCAACTGTCCGCGGTCTGAGAAAATCGCGTCGTGCCTGGGTAGTGTCCAGTCCCACGAAAGCCCTATCCGTTCGTCAGTAAACCACGCGCTGTGATGTCGTCAACTGTCCGCGGTCTGAGAAGATCGCGTCGTGCCTGGGTAGTGTCCAGTCCCACGAAAGCCCTATCCGATCGTCAGTAATCCACACGCTGGTTTTATCCTATGTTTCTCCGTATCCCTAGCTAAGACTAAAATGTCGCAAAAAAAAAAAAACAACAACAACAACAACAACAGCAATAATAAGAATAAACTCACAGGGAGCAAGTACAGCGGGGATCTACCAGTCATCAGTAGAAATTATCCTCGTCGACACACGTTTCGGCCCACGATTCCTAAACGTATTCGGAGGTGGGCCCACCTGAGTTTATGAAGCTCAGGGCTGGTTCCCCGCTGCACGGAATTACCGGATGGTGTTATTATTTCGGCCAAAGACAAGACGACTTAGTGGTTTCGAAGGAGGTACTGTGAGATAAGAAGCCACATCGGCAGCTTAATTAGAACAGTCAGCGTGCCTGGACGACCGAGCGACAAGCTTATTTTGGTTTACCGGACACATGTTGGACTTTCATTAGCAGTTGGCAGAGGGACACTGGCAGACAATTCGTACACGATGGACTTTCAAAGGGATGAGAAACTCCTTTCTGCTAGACACCCGGACCAGCTCACCGAGGCCCGTCCCCTACGTTGTTGCGCTGCGTCCAAAGCCAGCTAGAGGCCCTTTCGGCTGCCTCTCCCAGTTTTTTGAGTGTTCGTTTCCGTTCATTACCGCGCAATCCTAGTTCTTTCACCACATTGTAGAGCGAAGTGGAAACGAGGCCTCTCGCTCCCACTTAGACGGCAAAAACCCGTCTGTGTAAGCCTCGTTTCTCCTCAAACCGGCTGCTAAATCACTGTACTTCTCGAGCTTGTACAAATGATTCTCCTCCATACGCGACTCAAACGGGACCGTCAACTCAATCAGGATGAGTTGCCGTTTTTGCGCAGAATGGAGAACGATGTCCGGTCGCAGGCCGGTTTTACGGATCAACTCGGGATACCGTTCATGGCCTGGCAGATCAACCGCCAGTAACCAGTCCCTCGCAGAGTCTAGCACAGATGGAGCGAATGCGTTTTTGTTGACCTTACCAATTGGAACCTGCCCAGCCTTGAGGAAACGAATGGGGGCGATACTAGAACTGGCTCTGGCGTTAGCCCTCATTCTAGCCTGGTCGACAACGGCTGCTAACTCCTTTAGCACCTTGTTGTGGCGCCAGGTGTATCGGCCTTGACCTAGAGCTTTCCTGCAAGCGGACAGGACGTGCTCAAGAGTTTGCTTCGATTTGCACAACGGGCAAGTCGGATCGTTGGTCGCAGACCATTTAACCATGTTGACACCGGACGGTAATACATCGTACGCCAAACGAACGATAAAGCTCAGTCGCAGCGGGGTCATCCGCCAGATCTCACCCCATGTGAGCATTCTCGGCAATGCGCTCTCCAGGCTGACCCAATGGCCCTGCTGCGACTGCTAGGCTGCTTTCTGGACCCGAACCTCGTTTTCGTTGTCCCTCACCGTTTGTATTACCATGTCTCGGCGCTCTTTGGCTGAGGCCTTTGACCACCAATTGACCTTCCCGTGCCCTAGGCCTCGACGGTCGGTTTGTGTGTAACCCATTATCTCCCTCAATTTTAGTGCGTTCTGAGCAGATTCTATCGCATCGAGGACTCTCCATTTGGTACCAGTCTTTAGAGCGGGCTGGACAGCGGTGACATTTGGGTCTGAAGACTCGCGCAGAAGCATGGCGAGTCTTACCTTGCCGACTTTAAACTCTTCGGTTATCGACTTGAACGGAAGTACCAGCTTAGCCTGTTTACAATACAGAGCCACGTCGGTCAGACAAGGCGGTGCACCAATCCACTTTCTTAAGGCTGTGTTGATTTTTTTCTCCATGGCTTCCACTGCAGTCATCGTCACCTCGTAGACTGACAGTGGCCATAGGAGTTTCGGAATCAACATGAATTGGAGACACCATACCTTGAATTTTCCGACCAGCCTGCATCGCTCGATCGCGAGCAGGCCTGTAGCCAGTGACTCGTGTATTCGCCGGACCTCCGCTCTATCGGATAACTTCGAATCGTAAACGCGACCGAGACTCTTCACCGGTTCCTCCAGAACCGTGGGGATCTTGTTCCTTGCCACCGTAAAACTGGTTGCCACCACCCGACCCTTATTGATTGACAGACTTCTCGACTTCTGCGGTTTGAACTGCATACCGCTCCATTGGACCACCGCGTCCAAACTTTCCAGGATCGTGCGGGCAGACTCCTCGCTGCCCGTTATAATAGTCGTGTCATCCATAAAGGCACGTAATGGTGGCATCCAGTGGTCCCCAATTTGAAGGCCCAGTCCGTAGCCGGCCGCCCCGTCTAACATGATCTGCATTGCCATGACAAACAGTATGGGTGAGATCGTACAGCCCATAGCTATCCCAATCAGCAACTCAGTCCACCTCGTGGTAAACGTCGAGGTAGAGAAGCGCAAAGCGAACTTAGAGAAATATTGCTCGACCATTTGACTGATCTGTGTCGGTACGTGAAACATGCGAAGGGCTCGCCACAGTAGCCTATGAGGGACTGCCCCGTAGGCGTTGGCTGAGTCCAACCATATTACGTGCAATTGTGTTCTCTCATGCTTGGCTCTCTGGATAGCCTCCCAAATCATGGTCGCGTGTTCAAGGCACCCAGGAACGCCTGGGATACCACCCTTCTGAACACTCGTATCTATGTACTTGTTAGTCATCAGATACTGTGTGAGCCGGCGAGCCATGACTGAGAAGAATATCTTACCCTCGACATTC